CGAATCGCGGATTGAGTCAGTCACATGTTCGTTGCTATGGAATTTTCAGAAGTATGTTGCTGTATTTTATAATTAGTTGAGATAAATATAAATGCCCTGACGACTCTTTTTTTTCTCTCTCTTTCTTTTTCTTTTCTTTTTTCTTTTCTTTTTCTTTTTTTTTTCTTTTCTTTTCTTTTCTCTTTCTCTCTCTCTCTCTCTCTCTCTCTCTCTCTCTCTCTCTCTCTCTCTCTCTCTCTCTCTTTAGGATGTGATATCTTTATTTCGAGTTATTTTGGAAGGCAACCATTATTAGTTTGAATAAAGACTAGCTAACCACAATATATATAATATATATATATATATATATATATATATATATATATATATATATATATATATTGATAATAAAAAATAAACATCCTTCTTTCTCTCTTATCATCTAAATTTTCTTTCACTTTCTCTTCTTTTTCAAAAAGGAAAAGAAATGTCCGCGCAGTAAGATTCAACAGAAAACGAATCCCAAAAGAAAACGTAAAAAAAAGGAAAAAAAAAGGAAAAAAATGTATATCCAGCAATTCATGGAAACAGAATTCCTTATCCCCCCCCCCCCCTGACGTTTCCCTGGCGAATGAAGAATAAAAAGAAAAGAAAGTAAGAAAAAAAAAAGAAAAAGAAAAGAAAAGAAATAGAGAAACAGAATAATGATTTGGACGCATTACAAGTCTCATGCATCTTCAACATCGTCACAGTGACCATAGTGAAACAGAGAACATCGTTACAGTGAACAAAGTGAAACAAAGACACCACACTCACCATTAACCCATTCGCCACATATGGCAAGAATAGATACCATACCCACTTTGATACACGTTTATTTATTGTATTTACACATAGATGGCTCCACAAGTTTTTAATCACCAAATAGCCTGTTATCAAGAACTACCTATTTCACCTGTTTACCCTTTTCCTTCACTTTAGGAAAGGGTTTTTTTTGTATCATTTCATTGTTAAAAATATTCTAATGACAATTCAATAATCATAACATCAATAACAATAATAACAGTATCGAAAGCAATGGTATTAGTTTTCCCGCCAATTCAATGAATGGGAAAATCAGGGTCGGTAACTAGGGCCTCCTGATAGACTCCTTGCCGGCTGAGCACATGTGGAGCCATCTGTAGGTAACAAAATTCACCAAAAACTATAGGGGACCGAACATAAATCCGTGACGAATGGGTTAACAGAAACAACGCCCTTGATATGACGTACCAAGAGACACAGTTCGTAAGGCAAGAAGTGATACATCTTTTTGACTTCTTAGTGTAAAAATGACTGGCGTTAACGACTGTGGGTTATACAGCATAGGCATTTGACAACAAAGAAGCAAAGAGAGGCAGACAAACTGATAATATAAAAAAAAGGAAAAAATAGACACAAACTAATATCCCTTAAAACATAAACAATAAAAAGAACCTAAAAGATTTAAAACGCACAAACAAACTAACAAATAATGCAAAAAAAAAATACTGACAGTCAAACTAAACATTTAAAACAACATACGCACACAAACAAACTAATAGTCTAGAAACAAACTGACACTCGACTAAAAAAACACACACAGCAAACAAACATAGACTTAGATAACAGACATCCAAACAACAAAAAATATATATAAAAAAAACACAGACACACAAACAATTAAACAAATAATATGAAACAAAACACGGATACGAACTAACCAACAATTCTTAAAAAAAAGAAAAAAAAATCATCTAAACAAAAAAACACAATCAAGCAAACAAACAACCCAGAAATAACACACACACAGAATCAATCACTCACTCAATCAAAACAAACATAATTTCTCGAATTCTAACAAAAACAGACAAACAAGCATACAAACAACCTAGAAATAACACACAAACAAACAATCTAAAACACACACACACAATATCAGTCACTCACTCAATCATTATATCCTCGAACTCTAAAAAAATAATAATAATAATAAAATAAACTTTAAAAAATAAAAAAATAAGAACACACACACAAAATCACTCACTCAATCAAAACAAACATTATTTCCTCGAACTCTAACAAAATCTAACATAAGACACAATCTAAAACAACACACACAAAATCACTCACACACACACTCCCTCAACCAAAACAAACGTTATTTCCTCGAACTCAAACAAAAACAATCTAAAACAACACACTCCCTCAACCAAAACAAACGTTATTTCCTCGAACTCAAACAAAAACAATCTAAAACAACACACTCACTCAACCAAAACAACACACACACACAAAATCACTCACACACTCACTTAATCAAAACAAACATTAATTCCTCGAATTCTAACAAAATCAATCTTAAACAACATACACAAAATCACTCCCTCAATCAAAACAAGCAGTATTTCCTCGAACCCTAAAAAAATTTAACATAACACACAATCTAAATCAACACACACACAATTTCCTCGAACTCAAACAAAAACAATCTAAAACTACACACTCACTTAACCAAAACAAACGTTATTTCCTCGAACTCAAACAAAAACAATCTAAAAAAAAAACACACACACACACAAAATCACTCACACACTCACTCACTCAATCAAAACAAACATTATGTCCTCGACTTCTATCCTCAAAACAAAACACGCCCCACTGCCCTCTCCTACCTCCACACTCTTCCCTCGGATATCCTCCACTAGGCTCCCCGTCGTTCCAGTTGAAGAAGAGGACAGGTGTTCCATCTATCCACCTGTGTCCGTCCGCGTTGTTCATAAGGCCGATGAACAGCGTCGATTGACTCAGGTGTTGCTCCTTTATCATGTCTGTGAGGGTGGAGAGAGAGGGGAGGAAGAGAGGAGGGAGAGTGGGAAAGAGGGTGGAGAAAGGGGAGAGAGAGAGGAGAGAGAGGAGGGGAAGAGGGTGGAGAAAGGGGAGAGAGAGGGGAGAAGGTGGGGAAAGGGGAGAGAGGAGGAAGAGAGAGAGGGGAGGGGAGAGAGGGGAGAAAGGTGAGAGGGTGGAGAAAGGGGAGAGGGGAGAGGGGGGAAGAGGTTGGAGAGAGGGGAGAGAAAAGGGAGAGGGGGAAAGAGGGTGGAGAAAGGGGAGAGGAGAGGCGAGGAGAGAAGGGAGAGGGTGGAGAGGGGGCGTACTGTTAGTTGTAACCTGATGGATCGGTGCTGTTGTTGTTTATGTTATCACTGTTGGAATTTTTGTTATGGTTGTTATTCATTGTTAATGTTCTTGGAAATTATTACTATCAGAATCGCTACTACTATTACTACTGACTCTATGACCATTTTACTATCACAATTACCATTATTGTTGTTATCATTAGCAACAACAGCAACACCAATAATAATAATGATAATAATAGTAATAATGATAATAATAATAATGATAATAACAACGATGACAGTATAACAATATCAACAATAGTAATAATAATAATAACAACAACAACAATAATAAAGATAATAATAATAATTATGATAATGATAATGATAACTAATGGTAATAACAATAGCAGTAATAATGATGATACTATAAATAACAACAATTATAATAACAATACTAACACTGTCAAGAAAAATTGCCATACAAATAATAATAAGAAGAAAATTATAATAGTTATAAATTGATAATCATAGTAATGATAATAACAAAATTTAAAAACATATATATAATGATAACAGTAATACAAAAAGAAGAAGAAATATAAATAAAATTATATTAATAGTAATGACTGTAATAATAACAAAAAATAACAACAATAATGATAACAGTAATACAAAAGAAGAAGAAATAATAATAATAATAATAATAACATTATTAATAATAAACTGATAATAATAGTAATGACAACAACAATAACAAAGAATAACAATACTAATGATAAAAGTAATACAAAAGAAATAATGATAATAATAATAATAATAATAATAATAATAATAATAATAAACTCACAATAACAGTAATGACAACAACAATAACAAAAAATAACAATACTAATAATAACAGTAAGGGGCCATTCACATATTACGTCACGCAAGGGGGGGTGGAGGGTCTTTTGATATTTGTGACAAAGTGTGACAAAGGGGGGGGGGGGTTGTTTTTGGAGTGTGATGTCACTTTTTTTTTGTTAACAACTCGATATTTAGCAGATTTGGCCTCACAGCAAGCCCCTTTTTTAGAACAAATTTGGCTCCACGTCTAAAAATAATCTGGCAATCCTATTTTGATGCCATTTTGGCCATTTTCACTGTCAGTCACAGTCACAGTACATGACAACATGGCTGCCTCCATGAACCGGGAGAAACTTTTTGATTCTTTGATAGAAGGCTACAAAAGACGTAAGCCAAACCTGAACGGAAAAGTGGTCTAGCAGGATGTCGCAAAAGAATGGCAAGCGACGAAAGCTGCAGCCAAAAGTAATCACAACACTCTTGTGATTACTGAACTTGTGAAACAAAAGCTGACTGAATGGAAAGCCATTGAGTTGAGGAAGAAAGGGACCTTGATGTCTTTCTGGTCAAAGGTGAGACCTTTTTGTTTACATAAAACATCTAGAACTAGATCTATGTTATCTGCTTGATCTTGATATTTAAGAAACATTAGTGCTATCTAAATGTAATCAGTAGATTAGCTAGATATAAGATTGCCAAATTCAAAGACATCCTTCTTACTTTCTCATAATATTACGATAGCTCCCCGGGAAGAGTTCCGTATCTGGACGCCACTCTATTATTATACTGCACTGATAGTGGCTTCTTGGCTGAACTATTTTAAGAGAGAGAGAGAGAGTCTAAAAATGCCAAAATTAGTGTGACGTAATATCCGAAAGGCTCTTAATACCAAACCCAGCCCTCTCGACGCACCATCAACGAAGCCCTGCTCCTGCGCCGTCGTTAGGGACACCAGATCCGGCGTGCTCTGCCCCTCGCTGTGGGAAAGCTCCCTGCAGTAATGTTTCGCATCTGCGAAGCTCAGCTCTTCAAGCT